AATCGTAAGGCAAATTATTCAGTAACTGCATGAAATAAATGTACATTTTTATTTTATTTATTCATTTATTTTTTGTAAAAACTCCCCACAATTTAACAGAACATGTGTTTTATGATCACACATATTGCTATATGCTTACAATTTACTGCTGAAAGCCAAAAATCTTTGTATTATTTTATAAAAATAATGTTTACAGAGCAGATCACTGAAGAGACGCCGTCTGTTTATAGTTTGTAGCTCAGATTTGTGGAAAAATGGGTCGACTTTCAGTAGAAAAAAAAATTGTGAGTTCAGCTTCTTTTATTATAAGGGTTTAAAATGACATCACCCATCTATTTGACTGGAAAGAAGACAGTTGCAGCTCTCATACGACCCCCACCTTTAGAATGTAGCTTATGAAATATGAAAGTTATGAAGAATATGACAAAGTGCGTTTTGGAACCACCGGTGGTCTCAAGGAGTTGAAAAGGTTAACTGGGCAGTAAACATCTAGCCTCATTAAAACACTAACATTAAAACAAACCCAACAATTACTAATACATTAAGTAGAGATTGTGTATTACAGTGTGTTTAACCGTTTTCAAATCTCTGCTCAAGGAAGCCCAGTATTATTTGTAGTTATCATCCAGTATCTTTTTTAATTAAATTAAACTTATGCATAATTCAATCATCAAGACGTTAACAGTCATTCAAAGCGGTCTGATATGAAATAAGCTTACCAAGTCAGAATGGTTCACCATGGTGGTGATAGGAACCAGATGTCTGAAGAGTTTAATGCAACTAAAAGCTCCCTCACAGACTTATTACATAAAGCGGTTATGAATATGCTCCCTGGTGTCAGATATTGTTTTATGGTAGTTTTATTAAAAGCATTTGGTCTCTAAAACACAGTTTTTAAAAACATTAATGGCCCAGATATAAATGTAGAGTGTTAAGGAAAATAGCCCCCAAAAGAAAACTTCTTTTTTCATATTTAGAGCTATTTTACTATTATCAGCACTACACATAAAAACTTAGGAACCAGGGGTCACAAATATTTACAGTGCAAATATAACCATTTTATTTATTAAACAAATCCACCAGCGAACCTCCATGTGTATTCTATCACCACCACTGTAATGAAATCTGAGTTTTCACTACAGTGAACCATTTCATATGAAACCGCTCTCAATGACTTTGTTTACAACTCAAACCTTATGCCAGCATAATTAGTAAGCTATCAGGTGACCAGTTTTAAGGCCAGACTGATTTGTAGCCTACTAGAGCACCAGTTTTCTAGTCCAATTTGGAGTTTGGACCTGGCATAAACCAAAGTGGCCAGTGACCAGAAAGAATTGAGAGAATGGATAGCTACATGTAGCACGGTCAGCTTTTGTTCGTACTCTTCTGTTAAATACAGTGGTGGACAGTAACGAAGTAAATGTAATTTGTTTCTGTACTTAAGTAGTCTTTTCGTGTATCTGTACTTTACTGAAGCTTTTCCATTTTTGGTGACTTTTTACTTTCACTCCTCTACATTTCAGAGTCAAATATCTCACTTTTTACTCCACCACATTATGAGAAATCTGTCGCTCCTTTTGGTTTCTGTGTGTATAAAAACACAACATGTCAAAACGAAAGAAGTGCAAAGCAGAACACCAATCAGGGCACAGCGGTCACTTTGTTTTGAGCTTGTTTTGACCTGTTGGTCATACCGACCCAGTGCAGCACACGGTTCAACATCAGCGCAGCAGTGTAAAATTGTGGGAGAGTCTATTCAACATAAATGATGAACTAACCTAACTTTGTGTAAACAGACCACAATATAGAAATATGTACTCATATGCAGTTGTGACTGACGTGTCTTTTTTCTGAATTTATACAAACAATATTTCATTTTATAGTAAATTAGTTTTGTCTAGTTTATGTTTATGAACAGAGACCTACAGATGCAGTTTAGTAAAGGAAACTCATTTGTGAATCTGAGTTTAAAGTTTTTATTCAACTTAAACTTGTAATTAAGTTGCAAATAAATCTTAAACTGAAACTTTGCTTGTTTGTAAGAAGTGATTTCAGAGCCTCTCAGTTCTACCTGATGGAAACTGTTTGCCTTCAGTGTTTTGTGCTTATGATAATTTTAATAGCGTCAGACTAATTAATGACATTCTATTAATATACTGGTGACACAAGACTGACACTGGAGTATTTTCACCTAAAATTAGATAAAGCAAGAGTCATGTTACAAAAATGATAATAGGACATCAGAGTCATAATTAATCTTTTACTACTTTTACTTTCGATACTTAAGTCCATTTGAAGGCAAATACTTTTGTACTTTTACTCAAGTGGAGGTCTAAAGGGAGGAACTTCTACTTTTACTGAAGTAATATTTTACCTTGGGTGTCTCTACTTTAACTCAAGTACAGGGTTTGTGTACTTCGTCCACCACTGGTTAAATGTTAATTCGTCAGTGAATTGAGCTGCATCCAATCAGATTCTCTGGAAATGTGTCAGTGAATACCATCTTTACAAAAACCAAAACAGAATCCTACTTTTGTTTTAAAAAGGAAGTACATTTCACAGCTTTCATGCAGAGCACATGAGCAGCAATGACGCTGGAAATTGAAGGATGAGTCACTTGTAGTAATTACCTGAGATCATGCGTGTGCCTGTGCGCGCGTGCATGAGCACTTTTCATAAAAGCATTCTTGCTTTGAGGAGAGGGGATAATAAGGGCCCTGAACGGTTTTGAATGTATTTCAGGACTGGCACTGAAAGGCCAAATAAGAAGAGAGAACAGAGTGGAGAACAAAAAGAGCAGAAAAAGTCAGTTACTTCTGTTATACTGTCTTAAGTAGACACAGTGAAATGCATTAACATACAGTCAGTCTTTTTAATTTGTGTGTTTCCATGCATTTATTATTACAAATAAACAAGAAAGGACATTTTTGATGCAGTACACTCTCAGAAATAAACTGTAAACTGTCTCTGGGTCAGTTCCCCTCTTGTCACTGGGGTGGGACCCTCAAGGGTCCATCTCAGTACCTTTAGTCAGGGAACATAACTGAACCATAATCCACTGAAATGATATGTTCTAAGCTGTACTGACTCCACACACCCCGTCTCGTCTCCAGGCTTTTATTTTACTGTTCTGTTTTAAAACATTCGGTTATGAAAAGGTACAAATACGAACTTTTCACCTGGAAAAACATATTTAAGGTTCACAATCAGACCTTAAAACCACTGTTGGAGCTTTGAGGGAACATTTACATTGTTTGTACCTTGAAGAATGAAACACGTACCTGCACAGAACCTTTATTTCTAACAGTGTATGGTTAACAGTCCATTGTACAGCAACTAACAGAGGCAAAAAAAGACTGTTTTAATGTGGCACAGATCTTAGTTATTCAGTTGAGTATTCTGTCTTAAGCTCTGTTTGAGCTGGATTAGTTTTACCAAAAGAGGTCTGGATATGTAATTTGTAAGTGATTTGACGGGTTGATTTGTACGGAATCTGTGTAATTTCCCAAAATTACCCCAGGTAGGCCGGATCGAAACATCACAGCCTGTTTACTTTAGTGTTAAGATTAGAATTTAACAGATCCAAACAAACAACACAATCAAGCTTCCAGTTAATACCAGGTAGAACAGCACCAGGCTTGTACAGGGGGCTCATTTAGCTTAAAGAATGCCACCTAACAGGGCAGAAATCGCTCTGCCTTGTGAAAGACAGATATTTAGAGATTTGATTTCATTCTCCTTCCAATTAGATCATCACCAAAAGTGTTGTAGATCACTGTAGTCCTGTGTTGAACTTTATAAGGGAACTGTTCCAAGAGCTCCATTTACCGTTACTGCAAGATAACTAAGATTGACGACTTATAGCAGGTAATTTGCTCCAGAATTATACCTGAGCAGACTTGTAAAAACTACAAACACTAAAGATTCATACTGGATTAAAATCATTGCTGCATGACCAGCAAAGAGTGTATACATAAGAAATCGCTGTTGTCAGAAGAAAACCTTGTACCCTTTACATTGTATGAACATTTTATGACCAATGGATGTAAAGAAATGACCTAAAATGACTGGTTCAATTGACTTACATTGAAAGTAAAGTAGGTTTTTTGCTTCTCCTGTAAAGTTACCATTTTGGAGATACGAGGGGAAAAAAATAAAAGACATTATATTTGGCTCTACCATTTTTTGAAGTGTGACACCACCCCTGCTTTCTTGACATTTTTCCTTCTTAAAAATGATCTTAAGTGAAGTGATCTTGCCCCACTGGCAGATATTCTTAGTTCCGTTCAGCATTATTTCTTAAAACAAGTTATCTGCCAGTGCAGGAAGATACTTTCATGTGATCCATAAAAAAACAGTTAAAACAAGAAAAAAAGGTCTAGTAATATGTTAAAATCTCATAATGTTCTTGGAAATCTCATAGTGAGAAATATTAGATACACTGTGTGGCCAGAAGTATGTGGACACTTCTTATTATTGAGTTCAGGTGTTTCAGCCACACTTATTGCTAACAGGTGTATAAAATCAAGCACACAGCCATGCAAACTCCATAGACAGACACTGGAAGCAGAATGGGTGGTACTGAAGAGCTCAGTGACTTCTGCCCTGGTCAACTGTAAGTGCTACTATTGTGAAATGGAAGAGTCTACAAGCAATTACGCGCAGTGCCAAGCGCTGACTGGAGTGGTGTAAAGCACGCCGCCACTAGACTCTGAAACATGTTCTGGAGTGATTAATCACACTTCACAATTTGGAAGTCTGACTGATGAATCAGGGCATGGCAGCTGTCCATGGGTGTGATGGTCAGGTGTCCACATACTTTTGGCCATATAGTGTAAGTTGCCTATATTTAAGATGCTTTGACTTACCGAGATATCATAGTTTTCTCAGATGTTTCTAGTTTAGCAGCAATAAATAAATATTAATATTACACTACGTAGCACAAACAAACACTAAGATTAACTTTTCTTTCTCTCTCTTTTCTCTTCTCTCCTCTCCAGCACGCTCTATGACTTCTACCACTACTTCTACATGGTCACTAATGTGCTGTTCTATGTCAGCTCAGCTATAAACCCTGTCCTGTACAACCTGGTCTCAGCCAACTACCGGCAGATCTTCTTCTCCACGCTCAGCTACTTCTGTCTACCATGCCGGCGTAAGAAGCAAACGCGCATGCTCACCAGGCACTCCATCAGCATCTGCAGCAACCAGACCTTCTCCACCAATATCGTCAAAGAGACCGTCTACTGACCAGTAACAGCACTCCAGCGCTCAGACCCTCTGGTCCACTGCAGTGGAGCCGATAAGTACCTGTATGAAATGAGAGAATGTGTCCATGTGGGATTCTCACTCCTCCTTATGTCTGTAACTGGAATTCTCCCCATAGACAGGCATTGCAGACTAGCTGTGAAAGACACAGTGACAACGTGCAAGAGAAACGGCCAAGATGTAGCCTTGCTGCAGAGCTTAATATACAATGTGATGAGAGGAAACCGACAGTTTAAATGATGGTGTAAATAGTGTACATATAATATTTTGAATGTACATTCAGATTTATATATATATATATATATATATCTTAACACATGAAATTATTACACAAATGAAGAAATTATGAAAGGACAATCAGTAGGGTATTACTGACAGTTATAAACTGTGGCTGTTATACATAAAGACATTTATACAAAACAATCATGCAAAATTACTGTTTATTTGCTGAATTTAACATATTGGGGGGAAAAATGTGGCTTGTGCAAAGGTTATGCCACATTTTACACTGCATATTAGTTTTTTAACCCCCCAATATGTTAAACTTGGCAAACAAATAGACATCGTGCACCAAAATTTGCAGAAAAATGCATTAAGTGTATGAAAATGTGCAGTTATTTTCACTCACAAAATCAACAGAACATGTAATTCGACCAAAGTGTTCTAACTTTTGCATACGACTGTATATAAACATATTTCAGCATTTCAGGCAAAAGTCCTTTCAGTCACATCAGCTGTGCTTAACTGATGAAATATTTCTGATTCAAAGGACTTGAAGGACATAGGCGATCGTGAGAGACGTGCACAGATGCAGAAAAGGAAATGAAAGCTATAGAGTTTATGTGGAGTCACTGAGTCATTCACTGCCTCACACCGGGCGACTGTGAGCACATGGAAATGGCCCATTAGGAATTCTTTCCCAACTGACAAAGCACAACAGGGACACCGAAGGCAGACTCTGCCGCATTGTCCGATAATCGTTTTCCTGGCGACGCTTTGCGGCATTGTTTCTTGCCATGATGTCGCCGTGGCAACGCTGCGAGGTTAACAAGGCAGCGTTTGACTGTTCAAAGCGAGAGCAGAGGGAGGAAAGGCCAGCCGTGGGTTTGCACACAGCAGATCTCTCGCTTCTAGTCACTTTCCCACAACAAAGTCTTGGGTGACTTTCTCTCTGCAGTGCACCGATTGCCAGGGCAATGATGAGCGAGCAACAGTTATTAACACTGGGTGAGGGAGTTCCCACTCCGTTCACTGCTCTGCTGCGTGTGGCTGTCATGATAGAAAACAAAGAAAAAGAACACGAAGGACAATGAAGATCGCTCACAAAAGCTGCTCATCAGTGAGAAACCCAGGCGTGGGCAAAGCTGAGAGGAACTCCAGCTTAAAGAACAGCAAACTTTGAGATACAGGGTAATCAGCAGAGCACAGACGATAAAAAGAAAGAAATTACAGAGCTTGCTGATTGGATGAGGAGTCCTAAATGAGGCTGGAGGGCTTTTATGATTCAGATAATACACTTTTGATCACTGTGGAAAGAAAAATGCGTGGCTGTTTGATTCAAATGGAGATGCATCCTGCAGAAATTTGACCAACTTTGACCATGCCTGGATTGGCCCCATAACTCAAACGATCTCATGCAGCAGTCCATAGGCCTCGTGTTGATTAATGGCCCCCATCCTTTGGCCTGTAACGCAGCAGAGAGGCTTTAGCTGGCCCCAGAAGTGTAAAACACGCCATTACGATTCTCTCACAGCCTGCAGCGCTCGCTCATATCCATCTGGATAAAATAATGTAGGATTATTCCTCTAATAGACAAGCGAGATATGCGCAGAGGCCAGTTAACACTGAAGGCGAGTGGATGTGTAGCCTTGCGAGGAAGTGTTTTCCATTAGAGGAACAGTGTGTGCAGTGGTGCGGGTTAACTGAGAGGTGTGATAAGAGCTGAGAGAGTGCAGGGTGAGAGCACAACTACCGAGAGAAAGAAAGAACAAGAGGCCCATATACAGTGAGGGTGGTAGCAGTGTTTTCAGTGCTGGCACTTTGTAGCTCAGTCAAACAGAAGTGAGTGGCCAGATGGAGGAGAACATGATGTGAGAGGTTGTACACGACTGCTGCCTGCTTTTTCTTCTCAGTGTGTCTGTCTGTCTTTGTACTGAACAAGGTGTGCGTTAGAGGTCTGTACAGTAGGGCTGAAAAAGTCATCTTTTTACATCAAAATTACATTTAAACAGGGTTCAAATCACAAGAGCTGCATATTTAATCATAGTCTACATTATCAACAACACTGAGTGCGTTTACATGCACTTAATAATCCGATAACTGCAGAAAATCAGATTGTGTCAGTAATCCAGTCAACACGTTTACATGTGAGTAATCAGGCAACAGGGAAACTCCGGGTCAGGCAGTAATCAGATTTCTGTTGTACAACCAGCCAATAAACTCACAGAAGACGACGTGATGTAAACGTAAGGTAAACCTCAAACTTCATGCCACGACTTTTTTTTAAAAGCACAACTTTACTCGAAAATATGAACTTATATCATCTAGAATATTTAAATTCTTTCACTACGTTTGGTTTCAGCACCGCTTTTCGGTCTGTTTCCGCACATGTGCAGACTGAGAAATCCGAAAGAAATCAGAGTAAGAGTTTACATGCACTGAGAAATCTGATAACTGAGCTAAAATCCAGTCTCTTTATCGTATTGTGCTGTTTACATGACCATTTGAATAATCGGATAACTGCAGAAATCAGATTATGATTGGATTATTGGATGCATGTGAACGCATTCGTTATCTTAAGTTTTAAACAGCTCTAAATACTTCTAAACCTGGCAGTTAGATTGAGTTGAATCAGGTGTGTTTGAGTAGAAAAATCACAAAACTGCCCTGGACTCCGGCCCTCCAGGACTGGAGATCGACACCCCTGAGTTGGACCAAACACCAGTGATACACATTCCAGCTCTTTTCAGTGAGTCAGGGGCCTGCCTCACAAAGCAAGTTTAACTTGGACTTAGGGTTCCTGACTAAGTTTCAGCTTCTCAAAACATAACAAACGGAAAATTTTACAAAGACGTTTAACAACTTTCTCTATGAATCCAGGTTTAGATGATAAAGTTAGATTATCTAGATAATCCTTGTGCATGTGCACACGAAAGCGTGACGTTTATGACGAACAGCAAACTGAATCAAACATGAGGCCTTTTTTTTTACCCCCAAAGAAGGAAAAAAAATGTAAATGTGGAGAGAAAAATAATAATTAGTCAAATTTGTTAACATCTATATAGTTTGATTTGCATCCTCTGATTAAAAGTGATATTCCTCACACGATTAACGCCATAAATGTCACAAGGATGGATAAATAAGTAAGTAAATAATAAATATAAGAAAAGAAACAAATCACCGGAGAGGTCCACCAGTCAGAACCCAGATCAGCTGGTTCAGCTCAGCTTCTTTGTTCCCAAAATTAGCCAAGTTAGCAATTTTATCTATTTTTTTCAATAAAACCTTAGCAGTCTATTAAAAAAATTGCATTGTTTATTTTTTTAAAAAATCGACCAAATCTGATGTGATGTAGTTTCACTGGATGAACTTCAAGTAAATGTGCACAATGGAGACAAATCCAACAACCAGGCATCAACAAACAAGGTAAAAGTCAGCGATCAGAAGATCCAACAAGCACACCTGGAAACACGGCTCAGAATTACATGAACAAAACCAGAGACAAACTAATACAACAGGCAGTAAGTCTGGGGGTAATGAGGCAGTGGAGCCATAATGCTAGATGGAGATTCAAAAAGGGGGTCCTGTGGTCGAGGTACAGCATCATAAGATCTACTCTTTTGTTTTACTATTAATTTACTAAATAAATAAAATTGTCTCTTCAGTGAGTCAGCTCTCAGCATTTATGCAGGAGTTGACTTAAGCCGGGGTTACACTACACGACTTTTACCCCTATTTTAGCCCCTATTTTCAGTCTGGCTGAGTCTGAGCTGGTCGGCTCTAGTCTGCGTTTCAGACCAGTTGGAATTTATCAAACGACCCGACTCTGAGTGAAATCTAGTGTAAACTGATCAATGAATCAATCTGAACGGATTCCTGCAACAGCCAATGAAAACAGAGCAAGAAAAGAAGAAAATACAGCAAGTAAACAAATAAAAACAGAAAAGTCTCTCACGTGTGGAGCGAAGCGTTTTAATGAGCTGAGTTTAAGGCACGAGTACAATTGAGTTCATATACATCTAAAAATCTAAAAAAAAATAATAAATAAAAAAATAAAAAATGCCACGATCCTCACTTAAACATGTTTACCTGCTGCTTCTTTACTGTTTCAGCACAAAAGGCAGAGAAAACAGCAGCAGCAGCTCCACATTTGTTCATTTGTGTCTCCTAGTAATGAGAGAACGTGAGAGTTCGGCGAGTTCAGTGAGTCCGTTTGGTTCAGCAGCAGCTGAAAAGTTCAGTAGTGTGTGATCCCTAATCGTTTAGTGTGTGATCCCCAATATTTCAGTTGCCCAAAAAATATGCAAAAACCACTCTGACAGTCTTTTATAATCTGTTCAGACTTTAAAAGTCGTGAAGTGACCCGAAGGCTTTAAATAGCCAAACGACATCACTACCAAACCCCCACATTATAAAGACAACCATAACTAGCTGAGCTCTGAAGGTGGCAGCCCTGTAAATGAGACACAGCCATAGACATTAAAAAGAGAGAGAGAGCAAGAGAGAAAATGCTTCAGCACACGTGAAACTGACAGGCATATGTCCTCCAGTAAAACCCGTCTTCTAATCTAAAGTTCTAATTAATAGCACTCAGAAAACAAACTCAAGCCTGACTCAATGTTATCTGTGGAAAACTGGCCCAAAACACTGTTTTGTTGGACCCTGTCAGGTTTGGGTCCAGCGGCATTCTGCTATCGTTCGTGTCTGTCAATCTCTGTAATGGATTTTTGTGTGTGTGTGTGTGTGTGTGTGTGTGTGTGTGTGTGTGTGTGTGTGTGTGTGTATTACATTGCATTATGTAATATTACGGTGAGAAAACGGTAAAACTGTACAGGCACAGTGAGTCAGAGCCAAACTTTTTGAACTCACTTCTGTGCTGAGTGGTGATTCAGCCCAGTCACTTTGAGATAGATTTGTATCTCTCTGTCTTTTACAAATCCACATCACTGTCTGACAGGCAGTTTTCTCCTTCACACCACAAGCTAATCACGATTCATAGCCTTTATTCCTTTTTCTACCAAAGACTGTTACACCTGCAGCAAAGCAAGTGCGATAAGCTACCAGTAGCTGTCCAAGGTGAACAATATGGAGCCTCTGAAGTTTCATACACCATTCTTATCAGTCATTAGCTTGCTGGTTTAAACCTGTTGGATTATAACAGCGTTAGAAAATGAATAGTTTAAAAAAAATCTACATCACTAAAAAAAAAGTTTACAGATGTCAAGAATAACATTTAATGGCAGAGGAATGTATATTTGCCTTTGTTTATAGTGTTTAGATGATCTCTGTGTGAAGCCTTGAGTTGTATTATCGTTTCTACTGTGCTAAAAAAACAATTTCAAGTAAATATATCACAGCTGTGGGAAGAAAACCTCATTTTTGTTGGTTTTCAGTTCTTGACATATTTTGAAAATACCTGTTGTCTTTTACATTGTGTGTAAATTACATGATGAATGGACCAAAAGAAACGGCCCAAAATGACTTGGAAAAAAGTCTGGTTCCATTGACTTACATTAAAAGTAGAGTAGGTTTTTTCCTTCTCCTGTTAGCATTTTGGAGATATGAGGTTTTCTTTGACAACTAATTAGCAATTAAAGCCAAAAGTTGGCTGCATTTTCTACGATCTTCAGCTGCTGCACTGCACTTCCCAGCGATCGTCATTACAGAATCACCAAATCATTAACTTTAAAATGCTTTCATTTATACAAATTAAACTTAGTCAAGGAGATCAGATCCATTAAGCAGACAAGCCTAATGTCATTAATTGATTTCAGTTCCCATTTAAATGAGTAGCCAATGATTTAGCATCAACTAAATCGTAGCATTCTTATCATTGTGCTCTGGATGGTGAATCTGTCTGTAATGTGGTTGGGTTTCTGTGAGTACGTTGTACTTCAGTTGTAATGTAATCTACACTGGTGGTGACCGTTGGGGAGAGATGGGCACACATTTGCTGAATCACCATAATCACCAATCATCATTATTTATATAACCTGCACATCTCTGCTAAAAACAAAACAAACTCTGTTTCCAGCACGTATCATTTATGACCAATTCAGCCAAAAAAAAACAAGTGCAAATGTTAATTAACTCCACAGGTGGGCTTAAGGGTAACAGACTGAGGGGCAAGTTGTAGCCCCTCAATGATAAATGCAATAATTTCAAACTGGTTCCATAAACACACAGAAATATGCACCAAAATAAATGATTAGGATCAAAATATCAGTAGAGTAAAAATATATAGAAATATATTTTATTTACATGACATCTGTAGGATGTTTGATTAATCTGTGAATACAACATCTGAAGTGATCTGTTTTGAATTAATATGCATTTAAATGGATCTCTACTCTTGTTTTTCTTGGGTGGCATAGTTGTTTAAACTAACCACATCAATGTACTTTAGCCTGGCTAGCTCCCACTGAGAGCTGATTACATTGATGATTCAAACTGAGCTATATTAGCGCCACCAAGAGGGGGATTAAAGTTTTACAGGTATGAAATTCAGTAATCGAAAAACTACTTTCATGATTCAGTCTTGAAAAATATCGTTTTAGCTGCTCTGAAAATGCAAAGAGGACAATGTGATGAGAATACAGGTGATTCAAAAAGATTAATCCGATTTCAAAATGATTTATTTCACTTGTAAATCATCACAGATCAATGCAGTAAACTGTAAATGGTTTAAATGAGCGTAAAGTTTATTATGTAATTGTACAAGGTCTCAATATGAACCTCCTCCAGCTGTACGGACAACATCAACACCATAGTCAAACTCATCCCATACTGGATTGAGCATGTCGGGTGTCGCTGCACTCACGGCTCTTTCAGTGCGATTTCGGAGATCATCCAGTGTTGTGGAACCAACAACGAACGCTCTGAGCTGTTGGAGGTTCACTGCCCACGAAAATCAGTTATGACGGATTCACTCTTATTGAAGTGGAGAACACAGAACGCTTTCTGCTCAGGGGTCGCATCTCCTCTCAGACTGAAGGGAGCCATCTTCCACTGACAGTCAGAACCTCTTAAGACCCCCTCTTTCAATTGGATTGTGATTGGTTCCTAGGCGCCTCACGGTTATAAAAACATGAAGCTTTGGAATCGGATGAATCTTTTTGAATCACCCTGTCCAATATGCTAAGAAAATGCATGTTCAACAAATATATTTTCTCTCACATTGGCTGGTGCCCCACCCTCCCCTGCTGTATTGCATTAATGACAGCTTATGCGTGTACAATGGTTTATTTCTATGGGAACAGCTTTGTATTTTCATAAAATGACCAGTATGCTTTTTGTCTTTGTGCTATGCTGCAATTTTCTGTGCTTTTGTATTTCTTCTCCATATTGTTTCTGTACTCTGCTGCTATTAAAGTACACATGCCCTATGTTGGTAAACTGACAGTGATACAGTCTCTGTTGTTCTGTCTCTGAAA